CACCACAGACACAATGCCACCAGGGACATGGTGCCACCACAAGACCCGGTGCCAGCACAGACACAGTGCCACTATGGACACGGTGCCACCACAGACACAATGCCACCACAGACACAATGCCACCAGGGACCCAGTGCCACCATGGACACGGTGCCACCAGAAGACCCAGTGCCAGCACAGACACAGTGCCACCACACTCTGCAGAAAAGGGCACAGGTTCCCTCACCCCCCTGCCCACTTTCTGCCTTCCACAGCACCTCCTTTCCCCCCTCCCAGCCCAACACTTCCACAAACACGATGGAGAACCGAGAGCCACCAGCTGCAGGGTCCCTGCAGAGATTCCCACCAGCTCCAAGTGCTGCCTGTCCCTGCTGCTCCCATTCCCTGCCTTCCTGACAACATCCCAGGCACCTCCAAAGCCGTGCCCATCCTGCCCCATCCCTCCTGGCCTGGGATCCAGCCCGGAGCTCACCTGGGCGTGCAGGTGTCCGCCGGGGGCTGCCTGGGCCGGGCTTCTCGCTGCTTCTCGCTGCAGCTCCAGAGGGAGGAATGAGGGAACATTTGGGCATGGCCTGACTGCGTCGGCGCTGGCAGGAGCCCGGAATGTCCAGCTGACATTCCAGGGGGCTGTGCTAGGGAGGGACAGCCTGGGTGGGACAGGGAAACAGCCGCGTGCGAGGGCTCGGAACGGAACGAGAGGAGCCGGCCGCGCGCTCCGGCTGGCTTGGGAAATCGGCTCTCCAGGAAAACAACCGGGGATTTGTCCATCTGTTTTCCACGGAACTCCCCCCTCAGCTCGGGTTTGTCACCTCCCCGCACAGAGGGCTGACACTGGGAGAGGGATGGAGCTCATAAACCACCGCGAAGAAGAGCCCAGGGAGATGCGGGAGGAGAGGCGCGGGGAGGTGACAGGGGCTGGGGGACACCAAGTCCCCTTCGTGGCAAAGGAAGGGTGTGGGCAAAGAGGGGGAAGGCTGGGGCTTGCCCAAAGCTGGGCAAGGAGATGAGTGGATCCAGAGCTCCGGCCCTGCCAAGGGGAAAAGAGACACGTCAGAGCTGGGAGCCGTGATGGGAATGGAAAAGTCCCAGGGAGCTTCCTGCCAGGGCCACACTGTCCCCTGCAGCCATCCTCAAGGACAGCGTGTCCCCCCAGGCCTTACTGTCCTGTACAGCGAGTGCCAAGGGCTCCTGCCAGCCCCTGCACCCCAAAGAAATGGGATCCACGTGGTTTTTAGGGAATCACAAGGAACAGCCAGCCTGGGCAGCACCCAGACAAGGAGGGGACGGTGCCCACTCTCACCCCCAGGCCCCAGCAGGAACGTGGGGACTTCAGCACAGCCATGCCCAGGCCTGGGGTCCCGAGCGATGCCATGGGGGAAATGCTGGGGAAGAAAACCTCACAGCTGGGATCAGGATCTGTGGATGTGGAAATTCCCACTAACTGGAGGGGAGAAACCAGGCTCAGGCCAAGCACAGGGATCGAACTGATGGTGAGGGCAGAGGCTGAGATGAAAGACAAGGATGAAAGAAAGACCCAGATTCCCAAGGCCTGGCTTCCTGGATCTTTCCAGGAGAACTGGCCCCGTGCCCTGACTCCGTGCCCATCAATAAGGTGCAGAATCAGCTGTCGTGTCAGCAGCAGGAAAAACATCCCATGGGAAGGGCTTTAAATGGAAGCAGGAAAGGAAAAGATGAAGAGCTGGGTTCATTTCAGAGCCCTTGTTGGGCCACGTTTGCCTCCCTGACGGGGAGGGGATGCAGCAGCTCCAGTGGATGAGTTATTTATAGAAATGTGGTTCATTACAGAAATTTGTTTTGCAGGAAATTGGGAAAGGGCCCTCAGCAGCTCTGCTTGGCAGTGGGGGCTGGGAGGGGAGCAGGGCAGGGGGGGCAGAACCTGCTTTTCCCAGGAAAACTGCCAGAATTCCCAGTCCAGTCTGGCATGGAATGGAGCTGCTCCAGCCTGGAGAGAGGAGATGGAACAGGGGACACGGTGGGGGTGACAGTCACAGCCACCATCAGACAGCCCCTGGCACATGGAATGGCTCCAAGCAGCACCATTTCCTAACCTGAACAGATTCCAGCTGTAACTTAGCAACCTCACCTGGGTGAAAGCATCCCACCAGGAATGTGGGGCCCGAGGAGAATCAGCCTTGCACCGATTCCCTCCCTTTGTTCCCAAATCTCAGCAACAACTGCAGGCAGAGAGGAGGCAGCTCCTGCTGGCCACGGAGCCACCCCCTTCCTGAGCCACTGGAAATCCCCTTTGTCACCCAGGGCCACAGAGGAGATGAATTCATCCAAACGTGAGTCACCCCTTCCCGCAGAAGTCACACAGTGGTGGGGAACCACTCCTGCCACACCCCAGAGCTTGGCAGGAGCTGGAACTCGACCTGATCCAAGCAAAAGCACAGTCTGTGGTGTCTCAGCACAAATAAAAAGTAGTACATTATTGGTAATAAATTTATTTTTGATATTGATTTTTTACAGAGCTAAATGGAACATAGAAACAGCACCAAGCCATTGAAGTTTGTTCTACAAAACCGGGTTTAATACAAAAGGATGACAGCAATGCCTGACTCTGCGCTTCTGGACGGTTAAAAAAGCTCACCCAAACCCCACCAAGAGTTTAAAAAGGTTTAAGAACAGAGGCACCGGTGTTTGAGAGGATTTCTCTGGCAGCAGTGGTGATCTTGATACGTGTGAGAAAAATCAAGGTTGCCTTTATTCCCAATTTATTGCAGTGCAAGGGGCTGGTTCTTGCCTAGAAGAGCTGTTGAGTCTCCTGCCCAAACACCCACACCCAAAAATCTGGGGTAAGAGCCCCCTCCATGCAGGATATTCCCATTTAATGGGAAAGATCTCCTGGTTTTGCTCCTGGAGAGCTTTGATCCACCCACGTGGGGAGAGGTGCACACTCTGCCAGGTGAGCAGGCACAAGGAACACACCTGGAGTGGCATCACTGCCCAGGGCTGTGCCCCCCGGACAGGAGCAATCCGAGCATCCAGCCCCAGGATGTCCCCAAGGAGAGCAACACCCAGGGGCTACAGGGCTCAAATCACTGCTGGCTTCACTCTGCAACTCCTCCTGCCCGAGGCCAGCAAAGGATTTGGGTCCTGCAGCCTCAGGAGCTGCTGCAGAGCCCTGGGAAGAGCAGAGCAGCAGCTCCTCTGCTGAGCCTGAACTGCCACACACTGGTGCCATTTCCTGGGAAACAAACACTCCTTCACTGGACAGAAAGAGAAGCTGGAGTAACCAAGTGATTACAGACACGAGATACGATGCAGCAGGGCTGGGACAGAGCCAGGCTGCTCCTGGGACCCGGGAGGGGCTGCAGGAACAGCGACAGTCCCAGAGCTGGCACGTCCCTGCTCTGACACAAACACAGACACTGCAGCTGCCCAGCTCAAACACGAGCACTGAGCCCTCCCAAAGCTGCTCTGTAACAGCCACGGAGCAGGCCTGGGCTGCAGCCACAGCAAAGCGCCTTTAGAAGCTTCCTATATCCTTTATTTTCCACCCAAATTCCCCCCCCACGCCCCCAAAAAATAAAAAAGCACACAGACTGCAGACTTAAAAGTGTAACAGGATCACAAACTCTCCTCCTCCACCCCCAGCCCAGACCAAACCACCAAGGCACGTCAGGCTCTCCCCTCTCTCCAGGCCCACCTTCACCCAATTCCCCCTCTCCCAATTTTGGATGGATGAAGCCAACAAAAAACATTTTCTTTGCTGGGAAGCAGCAAGTGCTTCCTCACTGTCTTTGCACTGATAAAAACAAATGCAAACAAAGACACGCCTGCAACTGCCACCCTAATGTTTCCATGGGAAATGTTATCTTTCAGTACATTCCCTGATGGACTCTGCCACCAGTTGGCCTTTGCAGAATTGAGGTCAAATTTTGCACCCCCAGGCTCTGGCAGAGCCCCCCAGGCCTCGAGAGGGGTGTGCAGTTATTCTTTGTAGGTTGTTGTTTGCTTGCCACGGGAGCCAGCTCTCTGTGGAAGGCTCACTTTGGTGCAATCCCAGCTTCCCACCAGCTCAAGCCCATCTTCTTTCCAAGCCAGTATTGCCCTGAACGTGTGTGTTTGGAGAGTTTCAGCAGTGAGAGCAAACAGAGCCGTGCAACCCCCAACCCTGGGCCAGGCCCTGCTCCTCCCACCACCAGAGAGGGCCCTGAGGCCTGCACAGGGTCCATGTCCCACCCTGCTGCTCCTCCTGCTGCCCTCAGTGCTCCGAGTCCGACAGGTACGAGGGCTGAGTCCATCTCCACACCAGCATGTCCTCCCCTGCCACCCTGTGGGATTCTGTCTGGATCCGGGACTCGTTGGAGGCCAGGAAATCCACAGCTCTCTCCCACACCCGCTTCATCTTTTTTCTGCAAGGAACAGCAAGAAAATAAATGAGAAATCTCAAGCCTGGTTGTGCTTCCGTGCCTACAGCAAGTTGTGCCTGTGGATTTGGCTGCCTGCTGTTCCCTGTGCAGGCAGAAAAGGGCATCAAACAAACCCTGGTTTAGAGATTTCAGACCAGGGCACGGCCACACAAATCCTGCCTGGGGGGAAGATGAGGCTCTGTCAGTGCCCTGAATTTCTGCCATCAATTTGTGCTGCAAAGGGTCTCGATGAGCAAATCGCCCTCCCTGCTCCTGCACACAGAGATCTCAGCCAGGGGGACACCCTGATGTTCACCCCAGCTTTGGATCCAGCTGTCCTGAGCATCTCACACCCAGGGATGGCTCAAACAGCTGCAGTCATCCCTTGTAGGAAAAGGAACCCTGATTCTGGTACAGAGAGAGGACGTTTAACACTTCACAGGAGGACAAAGCAGCTCCATTTAACCAAAACACAAGAAATAATCCTGCAGAAATGGAGCAAAGCAAGAGGATCCAGCCCTGCAGCCCCACCACCCACAAAGCAATGACCTCAACCACAACATCTGTCTGAGAAAACACCAAACCCAACCTGAGAAAGCCCCAAACCCAACCTGAGAAAGCTCCAAACCCAACCTGAGAAAGCCTCAAACCAAATCATCTCACTCCAGTTCCCTTCCCAGTTGCACAACTCAAACTGGCCCCTTTCCAGGCACACAATCATTGCAGAAGAGCCCCAATATCCTGCTCAGCTCATGGGAACTGTTCTGGTCTGGAGAGCCAGGTAAGGTGGCTGGGAAAGCAGAGAGCATCAGACACCCAGCAGATGAAGCAGAGGACACCTGAAGCTCCAGATCCAAGCAAACCAAACCAAGGTACTGCTGGACAGAACAAGGACAACACACCTGTGGCACTGCACCAAGTACCAGCCCTGAGGCTGGCACGCTGATCTGTACCAGGTGCAGGCACAGCCTGAGCTGTGCCCAGGCCTTTCCCAACCCAAAGGCTCCAACCTCGTCCTGCAGGGCAGCTCCAGGGATTGATTTTGGAGCTGTGCTGAATCCCACCCTGCTGCTTCCAGCCCTCCTGAGTGCCCAGAGCAGCTCACCTGCTCTGAGGAGGGATCAGGCTGTCCCGGACGTGGAAGATGCCGACGTAGGGGTAACGCTCCAAATTCCTCTCCCATTCCTTGTAGTGGTCCTGGACAACAGCTGGAGGGCAGAAGGACACAGCAGTGAGGCTCAACCCTGCAGGAGCAGAGCAGGGCTCCCTGTGCTCCCACAGCTCCTACCTATGATCTTCTTCACCATCTCATACATGGCCTGTTCCTCCTCCTCCATCTTCCGCCAGCGATACCGGAGGTAGAGCAGGATGCCCCAAAGGGTTATCAGACCTAGGAGAATAAAAACAAAGGGGGTTCAGGAACTGGCAGCTGTGTGCCTGCTGAATGCAGTTTTAGGTCTCACACTGTGACCCAGGCTGCTTGGAACTGAATCCCAGTGATTCCTTTTGTTCCCCAGAGCAGCTGCACCCCAAAAACCCCTCGGTGCTGCCCCCGCTGCAGCACAGGAGCTCCTGTGGATGTGGAATGAGGTGGTGGGAAAGCCTCAGCATGGAGCTGCCCTCAGGAAAGAAACCTCAGCACAACCACATGGCCCCAGGGCTGCAAATCCCAGAGGAGGCGTGAGGTGGTGGGAAAGCCTCAGCATGGAGCTGCCCTCAGGAAAGAAACCTCACAGCACAACCACATGGCCCCAGGTCTGCAAATCCCAGAGGAGGCATTGCCAGAGGCCTCCCCTACATGGATCACTCTGGAAGACTGTCAGGTTTCAATGCTCCATGGAGAGCTGCTGGATAGGGAAATAAAGCCTGGGGCTCCAGTGGCAGCCCAAAATGCAGGAGATGTGTATGGAAGGTTTAGCACTTACAATGCCCCCAGTAGGACTTCAGTGTCTGCAATAAACAGAACTGTCCCTTGTCACCCCCACCCTGTCAGGTTGGATTAGAAACTCCTGCAGTCACACAGCTCTCGTTATCACCTCGCTGGGTAAAACCCCTGTCTCAGCTGAGGCGTGACAGACTATTCCAATAAAACCTCCAACCCTGAAATGCTACAAGTCATTATTAAAGAGGCTGGAGGACTTGGGAGCTCAGAGCAAGAAAAAAAGAAAAAACTGACTCCTTAAGGTAAGTTAACACACTTATTCTGCAGCCCATAATAACGGGCACTTGAGGAATACCCAGAGAGCTCATCAGCTGCCTGATTTAAAGCAACTTTTAAGCACTCACAGCACAAGAGGAGGGCTGTGGGTCTCCTGTGCTGCCAGAACAAAGGTTAATTAGACATTAACTCATCAGCAGATTTATTTCACCTCTGTTAGGTGTTTCCTATGGCTGAGCAATGTGTGATCACAGGGCTTCATCCCTGCAGCTGAGCCTCAAGAGCCACTTACTCCAGAAGAACAGGAACAGGTTCATGATGGCCGTGACCACGGCCCGGCGGAAGCGGCAGCCCAGCCCCATCTGGGGGTGGGCAGATTCCAGGCAGAACACTTCCTCCACGCTGGAAACAGGCTCTGACAGGTCCCTGCCTTTCAACCTGATGGGAAGAGGAAGAAAATCTTACTGAAGAGAGCAGGCTGCGACTGCAGTCTTTAATCAAGGCCGGGAGAACAACCAGACTGCGGATGCAGCTGCTCGCAGGAAATGCCCCCACAGCCAGGCAGAGCCTCCTGCCAGAACATTTGGGAATGACTGCTTAGGCAGGGATGGATGTGGCTCCAGGAAGGCAGTGGGGCTGCAGCTCCCTGGCACGCTGAGTATCCCTGCACTGCCTCTCTGACAGCCCCTCTCAGCATGCACAAGATTGGACTCGGAATTGGATTCCCACCTCCCAGCACGGAGATGGAAACGTTCCCTGAGTCAGAGTCACTGCTCAGCCCCAGCAGTGGGAGCTGGGGGACCCAGGCTGGGAGCAGGAGCAGCTCAAAGGGTGGCAGAGCAGCAGCACAGAGCCCTGCAGAGCCCTCAGCTCCCCTCCCTGCAGCACTGCTGCTCCCAAGCCCAGGCTCACTCCACACTGAGCCATTCCCAGAGCACGCAGGCACCGAGGGGTCCAAGGGACAGCCAGCAGATCCAGGGGAACTGGAACAAAGGGGACTGCATTTTTTAAGCTCCTAATTATGAACAGCCCATCAAAAAAAAGAGGTTTGCTCAATTTACAGGTGTTCAGCTCACGAACTGCAGAGAGCTCAGCCTGTTCTGGGTTCTGCAGGAGCTGCAACACACGGTTGTTTCCCACCCCTTGTCTTATTTACAACCCAAATTCCATGGAAATATTTAAAACATGGAGCAGAATCACCCAGTGCAAAGCTCATTTTCAGTCCTGCCTCTCAGACTAGCAACTAAAAAATAATCTCATGGAGCTAAAAATGCCAGGGGCAGGGATTTGGGGATGCTGCCACACCAGCTCCGGGGAAGCAGAGCTGTTTGGGGACCAGCCAGCAGAGCAGCTAATTAACAAAATAAAAAGTGGGAGGATATTGTATCCCACAGCTTCTGACTGGAAATGTGCTGGAGTATAAAAACACAAAATTTGAAAACTCTGCATCCCAGCCCACCTACAAATCCAGCCCTGCCCCTAAGGAAGCCGTGCCCCATCCTGGGAATTTGCACAGCCCAGGAATCAAAGCAGCAGACGCCGTCTGATCCGTGGATCACAGCAGCAGCTGCAGGAATATTTAAGAGCAAATGGAGCAGTGGGAATTCCAAAAAGCTTGCCCACCAACCCCAGCACCACAACTGCTGCAATTCACTTAATCAGAGACACATTTAGCAACGTGAAAATGCAAACAACTGTTAAGGCTTTAGAGTGAGAGCAGGCTGGAGGCAGCCCACGCTTCCCAGAGGAAGGTGATGATGGCTGCTGACTCTGGGAAAAGTGACCTCGTGGGCAAGTTAAGGAAGAGCTGTAGGCACAGGACCATGGGCAGGACACCAGGACCACTCCACAGGAGGCACAACACAACCACTGATGGCCACAAGCAGCCCTGACCTCCCACCTCCATCTCACCTGCAACACATCCCTGGACACAGTGTCCCAGAGCCTGGGCTGGGAATGAGACTCCTGGAGGGAGCCCAGTTCCCACCCTGCCGCAGGGCTGTCCTTTTCCTTTGGAAGTTTGCCCAGCAGGCTCAGCCACAGCCCATCCCAGCCCACCTGCTGCAGCCCAACGAGCTCTGGGAGCTGAAGGGCACCACTGACCCTGTCAAATTCCACCCCAGCCAACACCCAGATGCCCAACTTTGACACAGTGGGCTCCTGCCCACCCAATTCCCAAATCCCTGTTGTTGTTCAGTAGCAGCAGATCCCTAACTTGGACACAGGGGGTTTCTGCTCACCAAATTCCCAGATCCTTGTTGCTGTTCAGTATCCAGTGCAGGGCAGCTTCAAACTTCTGTGAGGAACTGCCAGTTACATTCTGTGCAAAGGAAGCCATAAGAAGATTAGCCCTCCATTCATTTAAAGTACTGACCAACATGATTTCATTACAGCAGTGGGAGAACTCATTCCACAGGGGCTGTTCCCAGGTTAATTCTTATCAGGATTCTGCAAACTGGAGGGAGGAGAACTAAGCCTGAAGGTCTGCCTGGCCTCAAGTCTTCTGGCTGGGGAGATGATGCATGAAGCACTCTGTGAAATAACACCATCCCAGACTGTTAGGGCTAACCACTAAATACAACATAATCTTACTGACAGGTTACCAGGAAAGAAATGGAATGCTGGATCAGAGCAGTCTGTCTCCTGACACTCTGCAGTAGAGAAAAATCCTTCTTCTGTCCAGCCCTCAATCCAGGGAAATTTCTGGTTGCACAAGACTGATGGCTCCAGTGAAACAACAAACCATTAAGATTTACAGGGGGTGAAATCAGAGATGGAGGAGAAAATGATTTTCAAAAGAACTGCTGAGAACAGGACTGGCCAAAGGGGAAGTGAGAGATATGGGAGAGAATCAAAGCAGGATGAGGAAGCAAAATGGATGGTGAATTGTTTTAGTGTCTATTATTTATTGCTTTATAAGAGACTTAAGCACTGGGTTGTAACAAAATTGCTCAGAGCCCACTCACCAGCACGTGATCCTTCACCTCACTAACCCAAATGCATTTGCTTTTTAGGTTCTCAGGGTTTCCACATTCAAAATTACCTGGTAAGAAAAGTCAAATAGAAAAATCATGTTTGTAAAAAAAGCCTTTGAACAGCTCAGAACCAGGCTCTGAATGTGCACCAAGAAATGCTCCCCTTTCCAATCAGCCCCAGCCCTGAGCAAAACGATTCCAGGGTGAGATTTATATTGCAGGCAGATCAGATGACTATTAATAAAATGCTCAGCCACTGCACAGAGGTTGGATAAGGGCAATCAAACCTCTCACTTCAGAGCTGCTGCTGGATAAGGGCAATCAAAGCTGACACTTCAGAGCTGCTGAACACACAATGAGGGGGAAAGTATTGCTCCTGCCCCTTGCAGAGCACAGAACCACAGCTGCCACCAGGTATCAGGTGTGGAGCTAATGATCAGTGTTCAAAAAGCCTCCAAGGAGCTGAAATGGCAGCTCTGCCTCCAACCCAGGCAGAGGAATGCTGGCAAGGCACTAAATCCTCTAAATCTTGCCTCACCAAGTTGACTAAACAAATGTGCTAAGTAAATCTGGTGGAAATCCGAAGTCAGATTTGAAAAGATTTAGGAATTCTGTGCAGCTTCAGTATCCAAAGGTTTCAGCCTTGACGTCTGAAATGCAGAAAATGGAACTGAAACCCTTTCACTGATTACCACTGCAGTGAATCTTACTGAACAAGTCCCTGCTCATACAGTGGATTTCTAGCAGCCTACTCCATCCCAAAATACCAGTGATGGGCTGCATTTACTCCTGGAGTAGGGACTGTGCTGGGTCAGCTCCTCATCTCAGAGAGCCTGTCCCACTCTGTGATGAGGAAAAGGAGAGGCACTCACACATCTGTCATCACATTTCAGCAGAAATGACAATTTCTTAGGGCACTTCATGTGTAAGAACACATCAGTTTACACTCCTGCCTCTATCCTGAAGACAATTTCAAGCTGTTGGTAGAAAAGAATAACAAACCCAACCAATCCTACCTGAAACTCCCAACACTTCAAGTACAAACAAGGCCCACTCACCCAGGCAGGGTGACAGGAGTGCATTAGCCAAGCACCACTCAGAATAAAAATAAACCCAACTTCCCCTGGTTTCCTATTCCCTGCCTGCCTCAGAAGTCCTCAAAGAGAACTGCCTGTTCCACAAACCCCTCCAGAGTGGGACAGAAGCGAGCAGGAGCTGGGAGAGGCAGCTCCTGCAGGCTCAGCAGGGTGGGGATGTGCTGGCACTCACCTGCCTGCACGGACAGGTAATTGTAGAGCTCGTGCAGCATGGCCATGATCACGTCCTTGTGCTTGGCCTGGCAGAACTGCAGGGCACAGAAAGGGACAGGGACACACATCAGCAGTGGCAAGGGGACAGTGGGAGTGCAGCTCCAGACACCAGACAGAACCACAGCACTGGAGCTTGGCTCAGTCCTGCACCACCAGCTCCAGCCACATCTCCTGAGCAGGGGAATGTTCCAGGCACAAGTGACCCTGAGCATCTTCTGCCAGTCCCTGCCCAGAGGAACCAGGGGAGTTTTAAGGTCCCTTCCAGCCCAAACCATCCCAAACCTGGGATTCTGGGGTTCCTCAAAGTGCCACCAACCCACAGCCCAGCCCTGGACCCACCACAGATGGATCCATCACCTCCAGAACTTCCCAGCACATCAGAACTCAGAATCCAACATGAAACTTTCTCCCTCCTAATCATGGAACGTCTGGGTTGGAAGGGACCTTTAAAGTTCACCCAGTTCCACCCCTGACACCTTCCCCTATCCCAGGTTGCTCTAAACTCTGTTCAACCTGGCTTTGGGCACCTCCAGGGATGATGGTGATTCCATCCCAGCCCCTCCCCACCCTCCCAGGGAAGGATTTATTCCCAATATCCCACCCAAACCAGCACATGGAATCCTGGAATGGATTGGGTTGGAAAGGATTATCCAATCTCATGGGCAGGGACACTGCCACTATCCCAGGGTGCCTTTTATCCACAATCCAACCTGGCCTTGGGCACTTCCACGAATGGGGCAGCCCCAGCTTTTCCAAAAATCCATCCTGACAGAGGGAGCAGGGCTGTGCAGGCACTCCATGGTGGAGCTCAGGGAATTAGCTGGATTAAATCTTACACTGTTAAAGCTGAAAACAGTTTTATTGCAAACCAATACTTCTCCTGGTACAACTGTTAAAAAAGGAATTGATTCACATAATTGGGAATTTAAATTTTTATCTTTCAGAGTCTCATACACACTCCTAACTTCATCTGGCCCATTAATTTCAACTCATCAAGTCCCAATTTTTCTGTAAAACGATAGAACTAATCATTTTACAGTGATAGAGTGTTTTGGGTGGAATAGACTACCTGGAATAATCACTGTTCTGTGCGAGCTCACAAGATTGAGGATAAATAAATAAATGCTTACATCATCCGTTCTTTTGTCACAATCCACAGGCAAGAGATTAACTAGGAGAGAGAAGAGGGTGAGTTAGCTGGCTGCAAACAAGAGCTTTGATCAAGAAAATAATTATCTTTTTAAAAGCAGGCTCAACTTAAAGCCTGGTTCTGCTATTGTTCATCTAACCCCTGGCAGCACCTGGAGATGCAAAGAGCCCCTCCAGGAGGGGATTTGGGAACAGCCCTGAGGAAAACCACAGCAATGATGGAGCTGATTGATGTGTTCAGCTGGGGACTGGATGTTTTAACAGCTCCTGTTTGAGGAGAAGCTTCACGCTGATCTTTGCACTGCCTCTTGCTGCCCACCAGGGTCACCTGAAATATCCCAGCACAGCCAGGGAGGGAAATGAAGCCCCTGGAGGGATGATTGCAGCTCTGGGCTCTGCAGGGCTTGGACAGCTCCTGGCATCTGTGGCACAGCCCAGCCCCAGGGCCGGCACAACTCAAACCCGGGCAGCATTCCTGCCTCCAGAGCTCCTGTCACAGCTGAAACAGGACAACCCAGTGACAATGGGCAGTTTTAGCCTGGCTTTGGGAATGCAGCAGCTTTCCCAGCCCACACCAAGGGCACAGTGTGCCCAGGCCCAGGACCTTCCCAAAACAGCCCCCAAACCCTTCTTTGTTCAGCTCAAAGCCTGAAAAAATCCCCATTTCCAACTGTTCCAGCTGGGGAACTCTGCCTTAAAAACCAGCTGCTGGGGAAAGCCCTTTTCAATTCTCATGGAAGAGAGTGTGACACACTCTGCCACACCTGAAGTGCTGAATTGATCTGCTGCACTTCCTCCTTGGACAGAATAAAGGCTGGGAAGGGCTGTGCTGGCAGAGGGAACATCAAAAAAACACCCCAAGTACTACACAGAGCTCGTCTCACACCATAAAATCCATCCTTGGCCCAGCAGGAATGGCACTCCACATAAAATCCATGGCTCTCAGGGACTGAAGGCCAAACTCGTTTGAAAAAAGCAAACTTTTGATTTGCTTCCCATGACTAACAAGGTTTCCCATAGGAAAGGAGGGATGGGAAAAGGCACAGAAATAGAGATGTCAGGTTATGGCAATGAGAATGATAAACGTGATGGGGATGGAAGCAATAAAGGGAAAGCAGGAAGACAGGTGAGGAAGGAAGTTTAAAAGAGAATTAAACCAGTGCACGTACAGCTCTCCTCTCTGCCGTCCAGCCAGCCTGACCCAGCCATCTTCACCACCAGGATGCCCAGAAAAATCAGCAGCAGCACCAAGCTGGCGAGGCACAGGAACTGGGACAGGTAATACTCCAAGCCTTTCCCCTTTCCCTCCGGCTGCTGCCTCGGCGCTGAGCGCAGCAGGGCGGAGCGTGGGGTCACTCCGTGCCCCCCATCGCTGGCTGCCCGCCACGGGAAGCGCCGGATCAGCCCCCCAGTCCTGCTGCCCGCATCCCTCTCTGCCTCCTTCCCAACGCTGGAAGCCAGGTCCTCCTTCCCTCTCCTGAACAGGCTGCTGAACCTCCCGGGGGCCGCCGAGGAGCCCCACTGGGTGCTGGGGGTCACCTCGGTCTCTCGTCTCCACCAGCTGTTGGAGGAGAGCCCCCTCCTGTCCCCCGCCGTGTCCCAGGCAGCCCGGGAGCTCTGCGCCCCAACTCCCCCTCCCGATGTCCCCCAATGGCTCCTGGATTTCTCCTCGCTGGGAAGGGGTTTGGAGCCTGCCGAGGAGCCCCAGTAGGGTGTGGAGCTCAGCCCCCCAACCCCATCCAAGCCCGAGCCCGCCCGGCTGCCGAGCCCCCCGCTCCTCTCTGCTGAGGGGCTCCACTGGGATGTGGAGTTCGACCCCCGGAACCTGTCCAGGGTGGGTCTCAGGCCACTGCTGAGCCCCCCACTCCTCTCTGAGGCGCCCCACTGCAGTGAGGAGCCCCGAAACCCATCGAGGGTGGCCCCCAGCCCCTGGCCGAGCCCCCGGCCGTGCTCTGCCACATCTCTGGATGTCTCCCAGTGGGATGCAGAGCTCAGCGCCCCGGCCCTGTCCGCCCCAAGGCCCCCGCTCCTCTCTATGGACGTGTCCCACTGCGAGGGGGAACTCAACCCGCCGTGCCCGGCCAGGGACGCCCCCAGCCCACCGCCACCTCTCTCCACAGTCGTCCCCCACTGCTCCGAAGGGCTCAGCCTCCCGAGGCTGTCCCGGGAAGAGCCGCCCTCAACCCTGATGCCTCCGGCCCGGCCCGGCGGGGACCCCCGGGGGTCCCCCCAGGCCTGCCCGCCGCTTTCCCCCGACGTCCCCCAGCGGGACGCGGGCGGCCTCCCCACTTCCTCCTCCTCTTCCTCCTCCTCGTCCTCCTCCTCACTCTCACGGGCGGCCTCGCCGGTGAAGCCGGAGCGCTGCCGCGAGGGCGAGGCCTGCGGCGGCCCTGCGGAGGAGCGGCCCGGGCTGGGCGGCGCGGTGCGGCCGCTGCGCCGGGCCGCCGCCACCTCGGCCCGCAGGCAGCCCAGCTTCTTGATGTAGACCTTGCGGGTGGTGGCGGTGATGGGCCCCGGGCGATAGCCGAGCGCCAGCAGCTCCTTGCGGAGCTCCGCGTCCGTCAGCTCCGCCATGGCCGCGCCAGGCCCCGCCGGAAGCGCCCCGCGGGCGGGAAGCGACGCCGCCATCTTGGGAGGGGCCCCGCGCGCCCCTGGCGCCGCCATCTTGGGAAGGGCACGGGGCGTGTGGGGAAAGGGCGAGGGGGCGGGCGCCATGTTGGGAAGGTCAAGGGGGGTGCGGGCTCCGTGTCCTGAGGGAGGAGCAGCTCCCGCTCCGCGCTGCTCCCTCACGGCCGGGGAAAAGCGGGAGAAATGGGGAAAGCAAAGGGCGAAAGCTGCCTCATCTGCACGACGAGCCGGTGTCGATGATGGGTTGTCCCCCATCCGCTCCTGGAGCAGCTCCCGCCTCACTCACCCTGATGTTCTGACATTTTTAGGGCCATTCTCCCAAAAAACGTCCCTTTCCCAGCCACCTGCCACCCCCACACACGTCTCCATCATCGCTGCCCACTTGCTGAGCTCTGCCAGAACCTCAGGCAGGACCAGGATCCAGATCCATGAAATATTTCCCGGGAAGGGGGGCCCCTCCACACCCCACACCTAAAACAGCAAACCCAAGCGTTGACTTGTAAATTTATTTTGGCACAGCTGTGATGAACAGTAATTGCTTTTTCTTGCTGCCGCCGCTAAAGAAAGCAATGAAAGCGGCTGAAATACGATGGCGTCATGTCGGAATTTAATTAAAGGTAATGGAGCAGTGGTGCTGAAGGTGCTGAGGGCTGGCTGCGTGCCACGGTTTGGTGATGGATGTGTGACACTGGGGTGTAGGACACGTCGTGTTCCCTCAGGAATGGCACCTGTGGGGAGAGGGAGGCTCCAGAGGAGCACGAAGCTGAAAGAGCTGAGCTGTGCCTTCCCGACATAAATCACAGAATCCCAGAGTCAGTGAGGCTGGGAAATCCCTGCAACACCATTGAGTCCAAGCTGCGACCGATCCCCCACCTGAGTGCCGTGTCCAGTCTTCCTTGGACACCCCAGGGATGGGGACTCCAAACCTCCTTGAGCAGCCCCTTGCAATGCGAACAACCCTTTCCATGGAGAAATTCCTCCTGATGTCCAACCTGACCCTTGCCTGTCACTTGTCCTGTCACTAATGCTTCTTTCAGGAACCCTCTTCCTTAGCAGGTCCCCAAAGCTCACCTCACCTCACTCTTCCCAATTTATCCAAGAAAGCAGCAGCAAGATGCTGAGATTTGTTTGTCAGGTTGGCAACAGCAAATACATCCTCAACAGAGGCCAGGGAGCCCATTAAAAGAGCAAACTCAGCTGTGCTGGGAAGTGTGAATGCGCTAAGCTGAGCTTCCTCAGTGCTCCTCTGCCAGCTCATGATGTGGAGAGGGGTCTAATGTAAATAAAAAAATTCCAATTTGCTCCTATCACACAGATCCTGTGAGCTCACAGCTCTCACTTTGCAGAAGCTCTGCCTGGGCATGCAGCTGCGCGCTGGCTGAGCTGGTGCAAATCTGGGAATTAAATGAACTCACCTTTTTCTGGAGAAAACAGCAACAAAAGCCCAAACCCATCCCTTCAACTTTTGATTCTGCCCATCATGGGAATTACCGCAGGCCCAGCAGCCCCATTGCACAATCTTTGGAGGGGAAGACGTGGGATTGGTGTTGGACAAGTGGAGGATGGGGAAAGGCTGTGATTCGTCCTCAGAAGGAGGTTGGCAGCACCAAAGCTCAGCAGGATCAGGTGCCTATTCTTTGTGGAGAGAAATCCACGACCCCTTTCCCTTCCTCCCTGTGGGAGAATCCCTGCCTTCCCTGGAAGGCATGTGGCCTCCACAAGGAAGGCAGCAGGAACAGAAGTGTCAGACCCTATATCCCCATGGGCAATCTTTGTTCCCATTCCCTGCCCAGAGTGCCAATGCTGAATTTGACAGTGGATTTTCTATTTTTGCAGCCCCTCCATCATCCTCGTAGCTCTGAGAGCACCAAGCGGTGCCGAGGCTGCAGATGGGCTCGGCAAAAAGCGTTTCTTGGCTGGAAACAGCCGGAGCTGGCTGTGGGAAGCTGGGAGAGCACGGAGGGACAGCCTCCACCTTCCCTGCGAGCCCAGAAGCCGCCTCAGAGCTGCTGGCAGCAGCTCTGATGCCAGAGGAGCAGACACGCCGCGCCGGCTGCTCCAGTGCTGGCAGCCTGGGGACAGGGCTGGTGTGAGCAGAGCCCTGGGAATGGATCCGTGCCGGAGCAGGGAATGGCTGCACCCCAAACCCGCAGCTGAACCCTTCCACCGCTGACTGATGGGCTGCTGAAACCCTGAGTCCCCCCCTCCTCCTTATCTGTGGCTTTTGGGTGACTGCCCTGCACATGGCACCCAGGGAAGTGTCAGGGCTTTCTTGGGAGCCGACTGTGCCCGTTTGTCACCCTGTCACTCACAGCCACAGCACAGGTGTGACCCAGGAGCCCTCATCCGCCTGCCCGTCCTGAGGAAGTCAGAGGTGACTCCATTCCCTTCCCTCCTCTTTCCCCCAACTATTGGGCTGCTCATTGCACCATGAAATTCGTTTGGTTTCTGGAGCAGCGGATTCTTCCTGCCTGTCTGCAGGTGTGACCTGGGTGCTGCTGGCTGCCAAAGCACCTTCCAGGGCAGGGGAAAATGGAGATCTGTCCTGAAACCTGGAGAACACTTCCTTCTTACCCAGAACCAGAGACCTGACAGCCTGGAGGGGGCTGGTTGGGGTCCCTCCATCTCTTTCCAGTGGAAACATTTCTGTTTCTCCTGCTCAGGTCCCTGAGGGTGGAAGGGATTTACTCCCAAAAGTTGAAGATGTACTTTGCTGCCTGTTTGGACACCACAGTTGGTGCTGCAGGACAGACAGGGGTTCCTGTGGTCTCTGTCACAACCAGCCATTTCATTCTGAGCTCATTTATAACTGGGACAACAGGGACGAGCCACTGGAAAATCCATGGCGGGGGTCAAAGCTGGCCCTTGCTGATGCAGCTTGTCTGGGTCCAAGGGTAAGAGCAGAGTCCTTCTGATGGATCTCCCTCTGGAATTTTCCACAGAGTCAGCCCCACCATCACCCCAGTGGGAAATGGTCCAGGGAGCAAATCCAAGAGGCTCATGTTCACTTTCTTTCCATCACTGGAAAACTTTCCTTCCCGGATGGCACAGGGGAGGTGTTGGCTTGAAAAATGATGGGAGTGAAGGAGCTGGGAAAAGGGCACACTGGAGGGACAGCTCTGACCCACAGTGGAGCTTATGGAGGGGGTTTGGAGGCAGTTTTCCCTTTGAGGGGGAATTCTCCTTTGTTTTCATGTGGCAAAATCAAACCTGGAATAAAGGTTTGGGTGTCTGTGAAGTAACAAGGCAAGAGGTGTCCTCTGAAGCGAACAAGACTCTGACCTTGCTGCACACTGGTGTAAATGTGGCACAGCTCCTCCTGTGATTGCCATGCCAGCTCTTCCATGGATATCACCCCTCTGCAGATGGAGCTCCTGCAGCCCAGACTGCTCTCACTCCCAGCCTAATGGAATGTGTTATTTCCCATCTCCCTCCCACTCAGAGTCATTACAGAGCTTCCACAGCTCACACTGCCTCAGCATTACTGGGAGCTTCCTGGAGCTGATCAGTCCCTGGACAAGGAGCGTGCCTTTGGATCAAACATTAGAGCTGTAATCCACTGCATGCTGCCTCTTCCATTACCCATTGGGAGCTTTCTCCTCTCCCCAGGGCTGCTTACGGCAGAGTGCTCCGAGGGGTGTTGTTCCAGCACAAACAGAGCTCTTGGAATGAGCTCAGCAAGAACAGAACTCCTGTTAGGTTGGGAGGATAAAATTGGATTGGAATTGGATATATTCACGTACATGCCATTGATCTCATCCATCCGTACTTTACATATGTTGGATTTCCTGCTGCCAGCAGAGAGGAGTAGCTCTCAGATAAGCCAAAGGTATGGAAATGGAGAGCAGGATGTTCAAGTGGAATTAGGATTTCACCTTGGAGTGTGTTTGAGAGGCAGGAGAAAGGGCAGAGTGCAGTTCCCTCACACTGTGCCTGGCACAGCTGCTCCTCACTGTGCTGGTGGATTTACAGCACCAGGCTGATAGGAGGGGTTTGGGCACAGGGAGAGGCTGCCCATCAGGGCTCCAGTGTTCCCCAGCAGTGTGGGAATGTGCCAGAGCGTCCTCCTGGAGCAGGGAACTGAGTTAGGGACACCCAGGTCCCCCCCTTTTGTCACCAGTTTGGGCAGGATATCTGGTTTGCCTCAGTTTCCCTCATTGCTAAAAGGAAGGGCTAAGACTTAATACTCCTCAAAGATTGATGCTTCAGGCTCTGACACACACTTTCACAGAATCCCAGAATCCCTGAGGTTGGAAAATCCCTCCAGGATCATGAAGTCCAACCTGTGCCCGATCCCTACCCTGAGCACTCAGTGCCTCCTCCAGGGATGGGCACTCCAAACCCCCCTGGGCAGCCCCTTCCAGCCCTTTCCAGGAGGAATTCCTGCTGATGTCCAACCTGAGCCTCCCCAGCCCAGCCTGAGGCCGTTCCCTCTCCTCCTGTCCCTGTTCCCTGGGACAAGATCCCAAATCCCCCCCGGCTGTCCCCTCCTGTCAGGAGTTGTGCAGAGCCACAAATTCCCCCTGAGCCTCCTTTGCTCCAGGCTGAGCCCCTTCCCAGCTCCCTCAGCTCCTCACAGGACTCTCAGAGCAGTGCTCAGGAAAACAGGGGTGTTCTCCAAAACCTGGAGCCTTTCCTCTCTCTTCTTTCCCACACTGAGCACTCCCCATCTGTTTGAGAGGCTTGCAGGACAGAATACACAAATCCTCCTTTTAATTACGTTGCACATTTATTATCTCACCTCAGATTTTGTTAATCTCTCTCACAAATTTCGTTTACATAAGTGGAGTCTTTCAGCTTGAGCAGCTCCAGCACCTTCTCTTCTGATCCTGCAGATATCAGTCAGCTAAATAGAAAAGAGAGAAAAGCACGAGTGTCCTTAAATCTGGCATTCAGTCTTTCCAGAGCTTTACATGTTGTTTCCTCCTCCTCAGCTCCCCAGCTGAAAGCTCAGAGGCAAACTGGGATCAGCACAGGCAGAGCAGAGCAATCCCACAGGGAGAGTGGGACCCTCTTTCCTGGGCTTAAACATCCCAGAAAAGGCCAAGGCACAGGGACAGCGCCATCCCACCATCCCTCAACCTGCAGGCAGGAAGAGCTGCACAACAACCTGCCCCTGGATATTTGCTGCTGCAATTCCCACACACCATTTCCCAAAGGAAAAGGAGGATTTGCAGCAAATTGCAGTGTAATTAAGTGTCAGTGTTAAGCCCCCGTGCAGGCAGCGAGGTGTTCCAAGCTGGCTGCACATGCTGAGCTCCCTCACAGGTACAGTTGCTGTTATAAGCTCTGCTGGAAATTGTTCCCTGGAGACTGAGGACTTTTTGGGAGGAGGAGGAGCAGGGAAGTGGCAAACAGAGTTGCTGGGAAGGGTTGTGCTGCTTCCAGTCAATATCAGCTCTGGGCAGCACCTTACGAGGGAATAACCTTCCCAGAAAGGTGCACACGGGAGCGGTTGGGATCTGAGGGCTCCACAAAGTGAGCAAACATGACACAAAAACCCTTCTGGGGAATATAAATATCTCTGTGCTGATGAGCTGGTGAGAAGAAGGAAAGGCAGAATTCCCAAGGCAGAAATCAACCCTCTGACAGTACCATCTGGGGTGTCCTGTAACAGCTCTGCCAGCAGTTTCTCCAGGACATCTTGGTATTTTTCCAGCTGCCTTGGGGTGAGCCAAGCTCTGACAGGAAGGGCTTGCTGTGGAGGAAACCAGAGAAGTCAGAACAAAAAGGTGAGGGGAGCAGAGGGAGGGAGGTTGGGGTACTTTGACCCCACTTGGACTGAGTTAGTGAAGGGTTTAGAATCTGGAGGGAAGAGGATGAGCCTCATATGGGGAAAAGCAACATTTTGAAGGCAACACACTCTTGAGTTGTTCAGAGCGCTGTTGCATAACCCGTGGGCTGGCTCAGAAATCCAGATAAAGGCACCTCCTGGCAGCAGGGATGCAAAGAAAATAATTTCTGAACCTTCTAATCCTCCGCTGTGTGGCACATCGACCCTTCCAGCCTGAGCCTGCAGAGCTCCTGCCCTAGCAACAGCTGAGGACGAGCCGTGGTCCTGCTCCAGCCTGCTGGACTTGGAGCCAGCCGTGCCTGAAGCAAAGAGCTCTGTTCTGGTGCTGGCCAGCTGAGGGGATGTGCTGGGTATTTCACACTTTGAACTGGGCATTTTGCTGTTTAAATCCTGTTACCGAGTGCTGGTGCATCACGAGTGCGGGAGGAGTTGCACATTTAGCTGTGCCTTGGCCAAATTCCAGCCTGGTTGGCCCTGCTGTCTGTCCCATGGGGTCTGTCCCTGTTTAGGGGGATCTGCACCGTCCTTTTGCTGGCAGGGAATGGCCGAGCTCCCTGCAGGAGTGGTTGCCCACACAGGGAAAACATTCCCCGTGGTCAAGTGGCAAAGCACAATTTTCAGACTTGGCTTGCCAGGTAAGTCTGCCTTTGAGGGCTTAGCCTGGCACTTCAATCCCTAAAATTGCCCATTTTCTGCTCTGTGTACAGATTTGGAGCCCAGGTTTTTAAATAAGACCTCTCCAGTGCAGAGAACTGTGGGGTCAGAGGTGACACCGAGCAGGAGCTGAAGCAGAACTGGGAGTTCCTGCCTTGCACCTGCTGGGCTTCACTGCCTGGCAGAGACCTCAGGCTGTTCCCATCTTCCTCAGGGAGAAGCTGTTGGGTCTCAGGGGTGACCTGGCTGCTGAACAACCAAGATAACTTGGAGTGGAGCTAAAACTTCTCTCTGATGTAAGCAGGCAGGCTGGCAGAGGACATCTCTTGGACTCCTTGTCCCAGTGGCTCCACATACCTGGAGGGTCTTGGCTGCATTGACATCCACGCCAGATTGCTCAGAGAAACCTTCCTCCTCCAGCTGCTGCAGCGAGCTCAGGGATTTCTTCTGCCCTGCCTTGTTCCTCTCCTTTTCCTGCAGCTTCGGGGCAGAGAGCAGAGGGGGCAGTTGGTGATGCTGGGATCAGCAGCAAACCCGCTCTGTGCTGTCCCAACAGCCAGCAATCCACGGTGCTGGGCACAGAACCAGTGAGGTGGTGGAATCCTCCTGGGAAAGACCCATCTGCTGTGCCCTGAGTGGCCTTTGGGGACTGAAATCCAGCAGTGCTGGGGGCGAGGTCAGGTTACGGGGCAGGGTGTGAAGGTCTGCAGTAAACAGGAGCCACGTGTGGTGGGGGAACCCTGTCAGCAGGACACGGGAGCTGACAGCACTGGGACCTTCCCCAGCTGTCCCACAGAGCCTGGCCTGGGTCTGTGCTGGAGCACTGCAAGGAAATTGAACCGAGCCCTGCATCTGCAGAGGTCATGTTTGCCCAGCCTTTCTGCAGGTTTGTGATGTCAGCCCATCCCCATTCATTTAGTTGCCTTCAGAACCCTCTGGAAAAAGCCAGAGGTGCTTTGGAATACGACAGACACAGCAGGACACGTCAAATGTGGCACAGGCCGTGCTCAGTGTCCAGCATGTGAGGAACAGGGACAGATTTCCCCTTTGTTCATCCAGAAACTCCCAATCCCTGCTGTAACAGACACGGAGCTACAAGGGCTGTGGGGTACAAACACAGCCCATGTGGGTCCCCATCCTCCTCAAAGACTTTGAAGAATGCTTGTGCTCTCCACAAAAAGCAATTGTTATCCAGGGGTAGGTGTTGGAAATGGGATTTCTCCCGGCACCCAGGGGCTCGGCAGTGCGGGGGAAGCTCACTGGGGCTGTGTTTCAGAAGCTGCCGTCTCTGAGCCTGCCTGACACCTTTCAACGGTATTTGTTTCACTTCAAAAGGAAAAACGTTCTCTCGGCACGTCCCAGAGGTGACAACCAGCCGGGGGATGGTTAATTATTTGTTACAACAAAAGAGCCATCACTGAGCTGATGGGAGGCTGCAGCTGCTCTGGAAGAATTCCAGCACCAGGAAAGGACCCGCAGGGACTGCAGGTGACACCCCCAAAGGTGTGGCAGACCTTTGGTAGGGGGGTCCAGGCTCTTCCTTTCTATCTCACAACTTAAAAATTCCCTCTGCCTCCCCCCAGAGCCGTGGATTTTGGGAGAAGGATATCAGTGTCTCCTGTTGATGGCGTGCACTGCAGTTTGGGGGATGAGGGCGGGAGAAACCTTTCCTGGTTTATTCATTCCAGAGGGGTTACCTGCATTTTCTGGAAGTCACTCTGGGTGAAAAAGGGCATGAAGCCTTGGGTCTGCTCAGCCAGCACGGACAGCAGGGACACCAGCAGCAAACTGGCCACCACCTTCCTCGAAACCATCCTGAGAGCCTGCACAGCACAGGAAAGGAGACACCAGGGCAGGAATGGAGAGGGAGGTGTGACAAGAAACGCCTTTGGCTCTGCACCAGCTGCAACCCAGCTCAGCCCCAGCCCACCTGAGGGATATTTACTCTTCCAGTTGCTCCTGAGCTGAGAATAGAAGTGCCTTGACTGAGAAGTGCCTTGACTGACAATTCTCTTCTCAAAGCTGTTTGTGTAAACAGATTTGTTCTTGAGCAACATCTCCAGGGATTTCAAGCCCAGCCCCTCAGGACTGCTCAAGCCTCCCTGAGCCCTCGAGCCTCAGCCCTGCAGCTGTGTTGGTTTAAGACCTGAACACATCCAGAGCAAACTCATCAATCCCAGTGCCAGCACGGCAGACAGAGATGCCATGCAAAGAGAAAATCCTTCAAACAGCTGTTTTTTTAATTTTTGTTTTGATTTTTCTCACCACTGGAAACCTTCCTGAGTGGAGTGGATCTCTTAAGAAGCCTCATTGAGTCCAAGGGAAATGGGAAAAGCATTTTCCAGCCCCGCTCTGTCTGAGCCTGGAATAAAGGGCTTTAAAAACCACCTCTGAAGTGATCTAACTGTGACTTCACGTCAGGAAAGGACTTATGTAAACATTGAATGTTCTCTTTAAATATTAAAATATTCTCTCTGGACAGACTTAATGAAGTCTGGTCCTACAGCTTAACTTCTCCACCTGATTGGAGCCTGATCCTTAATTAGTTTCAGCAACCTCTTGGTTTGGACATTATTGAGAAGACATTGTTAAGTTAGATTTGACTCCTGAATTAGATTTCCCATAAATATTAGCTGGTATTGAACCAAGGGCCAGTGGAAGTTAATAAATATTCCCTTTCCATAGCACCTGTCAGTCACATCCTCCCCTCTCCCTTCCCTGGGCACTGCACTGGTGCCATCTCCCCCTGCCCACCCAGACTGGGACACCAGAGCCAACCCCTGCCCTGGGACATCCCAGGGTGTCCCAGCCCTGTTTCCTGCAGGGATCCAAGCAGGAATTCTCAGGCTCTGCCCTTGCAATGCAACCTCAGCAGCATCAATCTTTGGTGCTTTTTCATTTGTTCTATCACTGCAGTAAATATATAAATAAATAAAATACTGCTGAATACAAAGAAAATTTACCCAGTCACTTCCTTCATCTCTTCTTGGCTAATCCCTTTGGGAATTGATTCTCTCCTTCTTCTCCCAGAAAAACACCCACACAGACCTCTCCACTCAGAAACAGCCCTGCTGAAAGCCCTCCCTTGCTTGGCAAGCAGGACCTGTATTCCTGCCCCGAGCTCAGCACCTCTCCAGGCAGAGAGCACTTGGTGGATTTGCTTCCCAGCTCCAAAGGGGAAAGAAAAAAGCAGAAGGATCCCAGGTTCAGCATCAGCGCTGTGGGCACACAGGGCTGGGACAGCTCTGCTCACCCCCCAAAACCCAGTCAAGTGCCAGCGTGGGGGCAGGAGGAGTGGGCACAGTGACAGGACAGGAAAACCCAACTATTCCTAGCACTGGGACCTGTCTGAGGGTCATTTTCTGCCTGCTCAGAGCAGCTCCCCGAGCTCAGAGGGCACCAGGGCTCCCCACAGCTCTGTGGCAGTGCCCAGTGTCTGCCAGCTGCCACAGGAGGCAGGAGCTGCTGAAATCAGTGCTCCTGAGATGGGGATGAGGGAAAAGCACCTTCCCCCTTGTTTCAGCACCAATTTTGTTCCCTCCTTCTCCTCTGAGCTGGCTCTGCTGTGGCCAAGAGGTGCCAAGACCTACCTGAGAGTGCAGCCACGGGACACTGGAGGTCGGAGCTCTTCTCCCTCCTGTCACACCTGGATGCTCCTGCTGGTTCTCCTCCCTTTATAAACCCATCCAGGCACTGCAGCCACTCACCTGTGACCCTGTCCAGCTTCCTGGCCTGCATGGAAACGGCTTTCCCAGGCAGGGAATGTTATCTGCACTGGAGTTTTCGGAGTTTCTCGTTTCCAGGCAGATCCCCTCTGCTCCCTCCCCAGGTCCTTCAGCTGTTCCTGGTGGTCCCACAGCTGAGGCAGATCAGTTGCTGCCTTAGTTTCTCCATCTAAGAGAAATTCCTCTCTCCTGGCTTTTGTTTCTAGACATTGAGCCTGCAGAACGAGTTTTTTAGGATGTGAATGTCCCAGCACTGCAACGTCACCTGTGTCAATTCTATTTCTACTGTAACTGCAAATCACAATAATATCAAAATTGCCACTTTGAGTCTTCAAGTGGCCCCTTCTCCCATCCTCACTGAGCGTGGCACACTGATCCCCTTGGGAACACAAACCCTGCACTGTCATCCCTCTCCAGACAAACGAGGTGCTGAGAGAGGGAGGAAATTGTGCAAGAACTCACCCGTGCTCTCCCGGGACCATCAGCCAGGAGCTGATGCCAGAGGATTTGGGATCAGGCCAGGCACATCCTGGTGCTGCTCCTGAGGGAGTCTGGGAGCAGCCAGGCGAGGAGCAGGAGGGAAAAACGAGCTGGGAAGCCATGAAATCCTCCTGCATCCATGGGCTCCATGGGCTGGGAGAGCAGGAAGCATTCCTGCCTGCCCGGGGAGAGATATGGAACAGCGATTGCCCAGCCCGGGAATGGCATTGTCACCTGGGAATGCCATTTGCCACCTGGGAATAACATCTGTCACCTGGGAATGGCATTTGTCATCTGGGAATGCCATTTATCACCTGGAATAACATTTGTCACCTGGGAATGGCATTTGTCATCTGGGAATGCCGTTTTCACCTGGCCCCATCGCAGCCAGTCAATAGGACACGGGCACAGCAGGTGTCACCAGGGACCTGCTGCTGTCACAGCTGTCAATAACGCTCGATTTGGGACAGAGCCCTCCTGAGAAACCTCGTGTCCAGCACTCAGGTGCTTCCTGGATCCCTGGGCATCCTCCCCAGCTTATCACCCCCTGGGCAGTGGAAAGCTCCCAGAGACTCCAGCACAGCTTTGCTCCCTGGAAACCTCCCTGGGAATGTGGCTGGGGGTGATGGAAAGGATGTCACCCACACAGTGTGGGGTGACCCCTCCCTTCCCTAAACAATTTGCACAATCCCCATTCAATTCCCATTTTAATTGACTTTTCCAGTCCTTTTCTTCGCATGGTTATGATGGATGCAGCTGACGAGTCAGCAGATGGTGCTGGGAAGTGACAAATTAGTTACCAAGAAAGGTCACTTTTCCAAAGCACTAAACTTCCCCGTGTCTTGTCCCACTGTCCCTCCAAGACGTGTCAGGCTGGCAGCTTTCCATCCATCTGGGATGGAGCCTTCTGCCTGGGGAAGGACAACCTTCCAAATCAAACAGAGGGATGAAAATTAATCATATCTGTATTAGCTGCATGCAGCCTGCCAGCTTCACCTCTTAATTATGCAAGACTGCTCCGACAGGAAGGAATCGTGGAGCTGAAAAGGAAGGATCTGACTCCAGGTCTGGAAGTGCCAGGGGAGGTGGGAGCAACAGGCACCTCCTGGCTCTGGCTTGGCCCAGTCCATAAATGCAGCTTTTGGCACATCCTGGCTGCAAAACAAGGATAAATGAAAATAAAAAATCCCAGCTGGAGGCCTCCCTGCCAGCGCTGTAATTCCAAAATTCCATCCTGCTGCATCCCTGGCACAGTTTGCAACCTGCAGCCCCCGAAACTCCCCTTTGGGCTGTGGTGCCAAGTGGCAGCAGAGGTTGGAGACTCAACAGATGTGCAAGACAGGTTGGAGTGCAGTTCTGCTTGCTCTGAAAGTGAAACATTTGGCATAACTGGGAGTCGTTTTCCCAGGAAACTGGCAGTGGAGTGCAGTCCACTGGGCCTGGCAGCAGAGGCAGTGCCAAGGAACAAGGGGCAGAACGAGCTGCCTGTGCCAGCAGCACACCAAAGCCTCTCTGGAAGCCAGCTCTGAGGTGACCTGTGCACCCCAAAACTGGGGAAATTCTGCCTGTTTCCTCAGTTTTCCATGAAAGAATAAAAGAGGAGGAAAATAGTTTCCTGGACAGAGCCTGGGTGGATTTGGCTTCTCTACAAGGGCTGGAGGGGGCAGGCACTGACCAAAACATCCTATCCCATAACAATCCTCTTTCACTGGGATTAAAAAAATAGCAAAACATTTTTAAAAATCCCTTTTTCTAATAAAATAAATGTCTGGGCTTATAAAAACTTCCTCTTCTCTCAAATAAGGAAAGAAATAAACAGGAGAAAAATGTTTCATTGCCTGGTTTCTCTACATTTTCGGTCACTCCTTTGCCACCCTCTCCCCGATCTGGAAGAAGTGAAGAGAGAAAGGAGAGGAGGTGAGAAAACACGATGGGATGCAGCTCAGCTGTTCCCATTTTGGTTTTCAAATCCGAGCCACCCAGTTTTCACTTGAGGGATCAGGAATATTTTTAGGAATGATACAAAATGCAGCCTCACACTCAGGGAGGGGATGTGACATTGGTTTGGGTGACATCCCTGGGCACCCCACTGTCCTTTTGGGGTGCCGTGACCCCAGGCAGGTGATGGGAGAGCCCAGCCAAGCTCAGAGGCAGGGAAATCACTCAGATTTCAGCCAAAGAAATCCCTGCCCTGCTCCCTGGGATGAAAATCCAGCCCGGTGCAGGTGGAGGGCTCGGGTAAGGCCGGGCTCGCTGCAGGCAGGTGGGAAAGGGGAGCAGGGAGAGAGATCCAAGCACCGGGATCTGCCCGTGCCCACCATGGACAGCGGCCACTCCTGGGCACATCGAGGGAAAGAGGGGCAGGGAGAACAACGGAGGGGAGAAAAGGAGGGAAAGAAAGAAGAGGGGGGAAAGAAAGGCAGGAAAAATAATTGGAGGGTGAGAAAAGGAGGGAAAGAGAGAAGAGGAGGGAAAGAAGGGCAGGAAAAATAACTGGAGGGGAAGAAAAGGAGGGAAAGAAAGAAGAGGAGGGAAAGAAGGGCAGGAAAAATAATTGGAGGGGAAGAAAAGGAGGGAAAGAAAGAAGAGGAGCACAAAGAAGGGCAGGAAAAACAACTGCGGGGAAAGAAAAGGAGGGAAAAAAGGAAGGGAAAGAAGAGCAGGGAAAACAAGCAGGGGGAGGATAAAAGGAGGGAAAGAAACGAAGAGGGGGGAAAGAAGAGCAGGGAAAACAAGCAGAAGGAAGAAGAAGAGGAAAAGGAAGAAAGGAGGGAAAGAAGAGCAGGGAAAACAATTGTGGGGGGAAAAGAGGAGGGACAAAAAGAGAGGGAAAGAAGAGCAGGGAAAACAATTATGGGGAGAATTAAAGGATGGAAAGAAAGAAGAGGGGGGACAGAAGGGGTCCAGCATCGTTGTGCTCAGCAGTGCCAGCTGCCAGCAGATTTCCCAAGACTGGATGATGCCAGATTCCCAGGATTTATTGGTGCTCTCACTGGAGTCTCCCTGTTCATCCCAGCACCTCTCAGCAATCAGTGGCCATTTATCTGCCACAGAGGAGAAGGGTTCTGGCTCTCAAGGCACCAATT